ACTGGGTTTCCGAGGCTGTAAATATTTATAATAAGCTGTGTTGTTATGTACCGTTGAATTGGAACCAATCCACGGCTGAACCTCCAGTGGGTTTCTAGGGCCATAAAATCACATGAGAGGAGACTGCCAATCTTTTTTCGCCTGTGAGGCAACTGGTGTTTTCAAACCATATGCCTTTGAGGGGGCAGTACAGCTTATTAGCACTAGGCCACCAGAGCTCCCTTAAATATTGTTTTATAATAGAAGACTGTCATATTTCTCTCGAAGAGGCTGATGCATTCCAACTGCTGACCTTTGGTTAGTAAAGATCATCCCAATAATAGATTGAATGTCTTGATACCTACTATAAATGACATCCAGCTGGAAGACCAAGATGAACCTGATACAGACTATACCTGGAAAATGTATAAAGAGGACAGAAGAATCGTTGCCTTTATGTTGCTGGAGAAGAGTGATAAATATCTCATAAGTTACTAAAAAGACAAAGTAGTATGTCTTAGAAAAGGTACAGCCAGGGTACTTCTTGGAGGAAAGGACAGTGAAACTTCATCTCTCATGCTTTGGGCAGGCTATTCAGGAGGGCTAGTCCTTGGAAAAGGATATCATACTTGGAAAGGTGGAGGGTCAGCAAAGGAGGGGAAGACCCTCAAAGAGTTGGATTGACACAGTCCCTGTAGCAGGGCTTCAAGTGTATCAGAGATGGTCAGGATATACAGGACAGGGTTAAGATTGAGATCCACTGTTCACAGGGTTGCTATGAATCGTAGATGATTCAGTGGCACTTAACAACAACAATAAATGGCATTTTGCTGGGAAAAGTAGAGGATCAGAGACCAAGAAGAGGACCCTCTACAAGGTGGCCTGACAGTAACACTTGGCTCCAGCATATTAGAGAGCCCAGGGATGGGGAAGGAAAAGGCAAGTTTCAGATCTGTTGTTTGTAGGGTCGTTATGAGTCATAGTCAACTTGACGGCACCTACCCACAATATGGGGAACTCTGGTAGCCTTGTGGTAAGAAATTGTACTGTCAACCTAAAGGTACATAGTTCGAATCTACCAGCTGCTCTGCAAAAGATGAACAATCTCCTTCATAGAGGCAGTGTGATAACTGCCTCTGAAAACCAACTAGAAGGTCAGCTGTGGGTCAGTCCTGATTTGATTGTATAAAACAACATCTATGATGACAATATAAAAGGAGGTGAAGGCCACTTGGTTCTAACCTGGCTGGCACCTCCTCCCCAGGCACAGAGACCCCCTGAGTAGACCCTGTGAGTGACACCATCAGGGCCCCAGGAGCCCCACTAGGGGTAAAGTCTACGTATCCTCCTTTGCCCAAAGTCAGTGCCTCGTCTCTATGCCTAGGCCAGAGCCCCGCTCCAAGGAGCTACAGCTGGTACTGTTGGACAGGTGTGAGGTGGGGCCAAGGAAAAGGGCGGCTCCAGAGGACAGACCTGCCGTCAGCAGATGCTCAGAGGATCAGCCACACCGTCCTGAAAAGAAACGACTAAAATATATCCCGTTTTTCTTCGGGGGAAGTAAAAGCGATCTACCAGTGTAAGAAAACACCTCATGATGCCAGTGCCAAGTATGTTTTGGGCCATGCCCAGGGGCATATTCACTGCCAGGAGGCCTTGGCAACTCACTGCACTGGGCTCATGGATGTTTCCAGGAGACAGCCCTGGTCCCTGAGTCACTACACTGCTCTCCCCTGGAGGACCACAGCAGGCACATTTACCTTTAACCAGCACTGTTTAGGGGTACACTGTCATTCTCTGGAATGCTCAGGGGGTGCAGATGTGAAAGCCACCAGGAGTTGTTCCCAATGACTGAGCACATACTACAGGAAAACCTTTGATACCTAAAGCCTGTGTACTTCCACAACCTGTTAGAGAAGGAAAATGCAAATATTTTCAACCACGGGAAACAATGGACTGCACCGTATCAGTGGCAAAAACCTTGTAAGACCTGGAAAAACAAGGCAGGCCAGGTGAGTTTGCGATGGCTTTCACTGTCTACAGCTGAGGTGCGGTAGGTATACTTATTTTTACGAGGCTAGTTCTGACTCATAGTGGTGGTTTACCTGCCCAAGGTCACACAGTTTAGTAGCTATTATCCTTGACCAAATGGTCATAGTTGCATTTTGGGTGGTAACAGCTGTTTGGGTGTATCTTTCTGTGAATGAAGTCTTCCTCAAGCAAGCAAATAAATCACGTCTTGCAGTAGTCAGTTTTCTTTTTAAATGTCCCAGTAAGTCCAGTCGAATTCCTGCCTTCCATGTGGGACACCCAGATTTGATGCTGGTGAAGGCCACTCACACAGCCACTCCTTATCGGTCAGTGGTGGTTTATGTGTTGCTATCATGATTAAACATGTTTCGGTGGAGTTTCCAAACTAAGACAGAGGCAAAAGAAAAGCTGAATGGTCTGTTGCTGAAAATCCTATGGATTGCTGCAATCTGATCCCATTGTAAACAAGGTTGCCCTGAATTTGAGGATAGTCTGAGTTGCAGAGCTGAAAACAGCAGCTAGTTAGGCAGCTCAAGGGCCAATCAAAGCCTTCAGAACTGCCCAAAAGTCCTGGTGAGGGCTTTCTCTCAAAGTGAGGCATACCTGTACCCCTCTCCTGCAGGGCCAGTTTACTTCCTGTCCCCCTAATCCCTGGGAGGCAGGACACTCAAGTCCTCCCCAGTGATATGCCATTCACCTGCACAGACGCTGCCCATCCCTTCTTCTCCTCAGGCTCTTTTGGGGTGGCTCTGGGCTCCTGAGCTTTTGTACTGAAAAAGTAAGTCATATAAAAAATGTATCCTCATTTAAATTTATAGCATGGATCTCTTTCAACAGTCACATTGCACGCATCATGATCCCAAATGTAACACTTTTACATGGTCCAGCAAAGGTGACTTCAAGCCTGACAACCGTCAAGATCTTAAATCAATTCACCTGAGGAAATGCCATCTTTGGCCCAATTTTTAAGACAGCAATCTGGCAGGGAGGAGGCCCTGTAGAGAAGACATGCCAAGCCCACCTGCTGCCTCTGGGGCTTAGTTACTAAAAAATGAGCTCTGGGTACAAGCACTTTCTGGTCAGAAGGCAAAGGGGCAATCCCGTTATGGACTGAATTTTGAGTCCCCCAAAAAGTATATGAAGAGTACAGATAGCTCAGTAATTAAGCACTGAAAGATCCGTGGCTTGAACCCACCAGCCCCTCTGCAGGAGAATGATGCAGCCTTTGGTTTCCATAGTGATTTACAGCCTTGGAAGTACCATTCTGTGGGGCAGGTCTACTCTTGTCTAAAGGATTAGGTTGCTCTGAGACATTTGATATTGAGTTTTGACACCTGAAGGTGTGATCCCATTTTGGAGGAGGGATTTGTTATGCTAATGAGGCCACATCAGTGTGGGTGTGTCCTAACTTCTGAGCCAGGGAAAGGGCTACACTGACAGAAACCTGGAGCCTGAGAAGAAGGAAGACAGGTTCCACATGGAGACCACTAAAGACTACAGAAGCGGAGTGGTAGGGATTTCTTTCCAAAGCTAAACAGAGAAGATGACCCCTTCTAAGACTGGGGGCCTGAATTCGGAGGTACGGTCACCTGAAAGCCTAGTGTGCTAACCCCAAAAGGCTGGCATGTCAAAGCTACCAGCTGCTCTGAGGAAGAAAGGCAGTCTCCTCTTGTGTGATTTACAGCCTTAGAAAAGCCGCTGGTATTACTGCTAGAGCATCATCATATAATTAAGACACCCTCTAGAGGTTGGTGTTGTTGGGCCTGCAGCTGAAGGTGCAGAGAACGAAGCAGCTGGGAGCTGGCCTGCTGGTCCTCAGGGAGCCTGACTGGTCTGCAGTTTAGGGATAAGAACGTGCAGAGCTACGCTGAGCTGCCAGCTTCTGGCCAGGCCTTGGCCCCTAAAACCCAGCTTAATCCAGGCAGAGAGATTAGGGTTGAGTCCTAGAAAACAAAGGAAGTATTGGGGTATGGAGATGGTGTAACACAATGAATTTAGTCAGGAGCCATGGCCACCACAGGATTAATGCAGTTTATGCACAGACTACCAGGAGGCCAGGCCCCAGGTCACCCTGGTCACTGTGGGAAAGGCTAGCCCAGCCTTTCTCAGGAGGCCCTGAGGATTTTCACATGTCAGAGGGGCCCTCGGTCGCCAGGAACAAGACTGCAGAGGATAAGCCTGATTCCGTCAGTCAGGAGGCACCAGCATCAGAAGAAAATGCATTTCCATTACCCCGTCATAAAACATGACTGAGGTAATGAATTCCATGTCCTTTCCCCCCTTGCCCCATGACAGACAAATCAAGTAGTAAATTACATTTTATTTCATTTACAGAGACCTTGGGGCAAAGAGGTGGTGTTTGGACAACAGCACACAGGTGAGAAGCACCAAGGAGAAGCTTGTTATAAATATGCCAGTGTGCGTTCTTGGTGGAGTGAGCGAGCTCAAGAGGAGGGCCGTGGGGCAGTGACTTGTTTAATTAGAGGACCTCCTGCTCCCAGCAGCAGCCCCTCCAGACAATGCCCCAGCCACACAGTGGAGATCAGAGTCCAGAGCACACCCTGGACACGTAACACTGCCGGGACATACAGCTCCCTTTCAAATCTCAGCAGCAGGTGCATATGGAGGCAAGAGAGGAACAGCTCCCTCTCCTGCCTGGCCAAGTGGGGACCACAGAGAAAGGGGCGACTCAGTGCCAGGTGGCCCTCCTTCCCACCCTGCAAGACTGGGTGATCAAAAACCAGCAGCCCTGATGCTTGCTGAAAGAAAAGTCCATTCCATGAATCCTGCCAATTTTCTCTCCCTCTGCACGGTTCTTTCTGATCGATGCCCAGAGCCCCACCTCTGCAGTCCTGGAGTTTGAGTCTGTGGTCAGTAACTCCTGTGGGGCCAGGCGGGCATGGGCTGTGTCCGTGAGGAGGAGGAAGGCAGTCGTTGGCCCCGCAGACCCTCAGGGCCGGGTTCAGGGGGGCTCGCGAGGTCGGGGGTGGGGGCTACAGCAGCTTGACGTAGTTCTGTGGAATCAGCCCCCGCTTGCCGTTCAGAGTGCCTTCCAGCCAGCCAGGCTCCCTGGAGGTTTGCACTGAAAGAGAAGTGAAATCACTGGTTATGGAGTTCTTGCTGCCTGTTCAAGCAGATGCCCACTGTAAGTTTTACTTACTGAACAAACTGATTTCTAGGCATCTAGCGACAAACATTGCTCAGGGATATTTAGACGATCTGTTCCTATGTCACCGTATCCTTCTCTGTCTCTCTCTCTGTGGAGCCTTCTACCTAGTAACCCAGCTTCTAGCCCAGATCCTTCCAATGCGCTCTGCACAAAGGAGCTCAGTGAACTTTCTAGAACACAGGGCTGACCACATCACTGTCCTGCTTACCCCCCACTGCCAACAGGATTGTATCTGAGACTCTTACTGGCTTCGTGTCAGGCCTAGACCCCTCAGGCTGCCTTCAGCAGTCCCTCTCACACCCCTTCCCCCCAGCTGCTCTTCAGTCGGTGCCCACGTAGGACAGAATGCCCCCGTGAGACAGAGCAGAACTTCCTTGTAGGTTTCCAAAGTTGTAATCTTTATGGAGAACTCTGGTGGCTTAGTGGTAAGGAGTTGTGCTGTCACACCAAAGACACGCAGTTCGAACTCACCAGCTGCTCTGAGGGGAAACTATGAGCAGTCTCTTCCCGTGTGATTTATTGTCTCTGAAAACCCATGGGAGAGTCAGCTATGAGTGCTTTCCAACTGAATGGTACATGATACGACAATATTTAAGGGAGCCAACAGTCACATCTTTCTCCTATGGAGAGGAGTGTGGGTTTGAACTTTCCCAGTTAGCTGTCAAGTGCTTTACTTCACACAAAATTGCACCACCGGGGCTCCCTTATACTCACTCCATCATGCATCTTAAACATCCATTGCTATCTATCAGCCACAACCCCCCACTCAGAGTCACTCCAGGCCTCAAGGTGTGGATGTGGTTCCTCACCTATCAGCCCATATAGGTGAGAGCCAGAGCCAGAGCGTGAGCGAACGAGCAAGAATCAATGTGTATATGAGAGACAGAGAGGCACTGAGATTCTCTCCTTGCTGCTGAATGGAGAGGCCCTGAGGGCAGGTCCAGGCCTGACATAACTAGGCACTGAGCCAGGGCCCAGGTCAATCAATATCTATTGTTGGCGAACAGGAATGAACAAGACAATGACTGCAAGCTAACAACAAAGGACATGAGGCCACATACTCATAACTAAATTTTAGAGACCAAAAGAGGAGTGTTTACAAACCCCAGTGGTGGGCATGCCAGGCGTCTGCAAGAAGTGGTTGGAACTGCCTGGCCCACCCATGGCATTACCTCAAGAGCTAGTTAGAAAATGCCACTCAGAGCAATGTTTTCCAAACATTTCTCGTCACAACTAATACTGCAAACAATTTCATATCAAATCAGGTACTCATCCTCTACACAACACTCATGTGGTGTATCAAAGAAAAATTCTATGAACTACACTTACCCTTAGCATACAAATTGGTTGTTGTTGTTGTTATGTGCTGTCAAGTCACCTGTGACTCATAATGACGCTATGTACAACAGCTCTGAAGTCTTCTCTGTCCTGATTCAGTCTCACTGACCCTGACACACGTAAACCCATTGCCCCATTTATTATATCAATCCATCTTATCCAGGGTCTTCCTCTCCTGCGATGTTCCTCCACCCATCCCTGCGTAATGTCCTTCTCCAAGGACAGGTCCCTCCTGAACACATGCCCGAAGGATGTGAGATGGAGCTTCAAAAATCCTAGCTCCAAGGAGAAACTTGGTTTCGCCTCTCCAAGACAGAGCTTGTTTGTTTTCTTGGTGTTCCATCATATGTTTAAGACTCTTCTCTAGCACCACAACTCAAAGGCATAAATTCTTCTTCTGTCATCCTTAGTCATTATCCATCTCTCTGATGCATAGCAAGTAATTGGGAAGACCATGGTCTGGTTCAGGTGTACCTTACTCTCTAGACATCTTTGTTTCTCAGCACTCTGGAAAGATCCCTGACAGAAGATTTACCTAATGAAATTTGTCTTTTGATTTCCTGGCTGCTGGTGCCAACAGTGTTGATTGTGGAGCCAAACAAACTGTAATTGTTAACAACCTCAATCTTTTCTCCATCTATCATGATGCTGACAATTGGCCCAATGGTAAGAATCTTTTCCTTCTTGATGTTGAGCTTCAATCCATATTAAAGACTACAGTCCTTGACCTTCTGCAGCAAGTGCTTCAGGCCCTCAGTTTCAGCAAGCAAGGTTGTGCCATCTGCATAATGTAGGTTGTTGATGAGTCTACAATCCTAGCACACCTTTTCTAATTTTAAACCATGCAGTTTTTCCTTGCTCTGTTTTCATAACAGCCTCTTGGTCTGGGTATAGGTTTTGTATGAGAAAAAGTGTTCTGGGACTCCCATTCTAGTGACAGTTGGTTATGACCCACATAGTCAAATACCTCTGCATAGTCCATAAAACACAAACAGACATTCTTTTGCCATTCTTTGCTTTCAGCCAGGATCCATCAGCATTGATATCCTTGGTGCCAGAGGCTCTTCTAAACACAGCTTGAACTTCTGACAGTTCACAGTCTATGTACTATTCTAGTATGTAGACAGAGAATTGTTTTTTAATGGTCAAGGGGAAAAAAATCAGTATTGTGGTTGCATGTGAAATTAATGATATTGTTTGATAATTTCCATATCCTTTTGTATCACTTTTCTTAGGAATAAGAACAAATATGGATCTTTTTCAGTCAGTTGTCCAGACAGCTGTTCTCCAAATTTCCTGGCATAGACTGGTGAGTACATCCAGGGTTATGGCTCCTGTTTGAAACACGTCAATCGGTATCCCATCAATTCTTGGGCCTTGTTTTTTGTCAATGCCTTCAGTGCAGCTTTAGCTTATTCCTTCATTACCACTGACTCTTTAAATAATATTGTACTTCTTGAGATATTGCAATTTTGACCAATTCTTTTTGGAGCAATGATTCTGTACATTCCCTCAATTTTTTTTTGTTTATGCTTCCTAGATCATTCAAGATTTTGCCCACAGCATCTCTAAGTATTGCAACTCAAGGCTTGAATTTATTTTTCAGTTCTTTTAGCGTGAGAAATGCCAAGTGAGTTCTTATCTTTTTATTCTCCAATTCTAAGTCTCTGCATATTCCATTATTATACTTTCCTTTGTCTACACGAACTGCCCTTTGAAATCTGTTCAGCTATTTTATTTCAATATCTCTTCCTTCTGTTTTGGCTTCTCAATGCTCTAGTACAATTTTCAGGGTCTCTTCTGACATCCATTTCGGTTTTTCTTCTTCCTCTTTGTAGTGACCTTTTGCTCTCTTCATGGATGATACCCTTGAAGTCATCCACAACTCATGTCATCTTCAATTACTAGCCTTCCATGTTTCAATTCGAGAAGCTGGAGTCTATGAAGAAGAATTTGGCATCAGGATTGGAGGAAGACTCTTCAATAAAAAGTTATATGATGACACAACCTTGCTTGCTGAAAGTGAGGAGAACTTGAAGCACTTGCTACAGAAGATCAAGGACTTCAGTATTTGGATTTCATCTCAACATCAAGGAAACAAAAATTCTCCCCACTGGACATCATGACTGTTGTTATGGACTGTCAAGTCTGGGACTGACCCATAGCTGACTCTCCAGCAGGTTTCAGAGACAGTTTAACAGCATGGCAAGAGATTTCCTATCTCTCTCCCATGAAGCAACTGGTGTATTTGAACTCTGTGCCCTCAGGATTGTAGTACAGCTCCTTATCACTAGGCCTAACATCATGTTAGATGGAGAAAATACTGAAACTGATAACAACTTCATCTTAACTTGTTTCCACAATCAATGCCCATGATACCAGCTGTCAGGAGACCAGGAGATGTTTTGCACTGGAAAAGTCTGCAGTCAGAGACCTCTCCAAGTTCTTGAGAAGCAATGATGTTAGTTGGTGGCTTAATGTGTGCCTTATTTGGGTTACAGTCTTTTCAGTCTCTTGCTATGCATCTGAGAGCTGCACAGTAAATAAGGATGATAGAAGGAAAAATGATGCCTTTTCACTGTGGTGCTGGAGAAGAGTAATGAATATTCCATGGATTGTGAAAAAAAATAACAATGTATATTTCTTGGAAGGTGCAGCCAGGGTGCTTCTTGGAGGCAATGATGATAAAACATTGTCTCACAGACTTTGGGCATGTTTCTAGGAGAGGCTGTTTATTAGAGAGGGATATCATGCTTGGAAAGGTGGAGGGATAGAGAAAGAAAGCAAGACCCTCAACCAAGTGGATTGACAGTGACTGCAGCAAAAGGTTCAAGTATGTCAGCGAGTGTGAGGACGGTACAGGACAGGACAGGGTTCAGACAAGCTGTTTATTGGATCACTATGAGTCATACTTGACTTGATGGCACCAACAACATACTAAACTTCACTATGTGCAATGTATGTATTCTTTTTTATTCTATCATTTTAACATGCTGATTACCAAACTGAATTCTCATACCACTATTATGGACTAACCTACAGTTTGGCAAGTATAGAGGACCTGATTCTAATTGTCCTTTCAACAAGAAAACCATTAAGCCATGTGCATGGTCTTGGCCTCCTGGTCTCTCCTTGGATTCAACAAACTAGCTGCAGGGTTTCTGACGGCTCTTCTTCTCACTCCACGCTGCACAACACCTCCTTATCCTCACACACCCACCTGGGAAGCCCTTCTCTCTAGGGCGCCTCCTGAGGCTCTAGACCAGACCTTAGTGCGCTTCACACCCTGAACATTAATACCATGGTACTCAATCCAATGAGCGGGCCTGCTAGTGCACACTTCCCCCTCCCCCACATATACACAACACATTCACACCCACACACCTATTACACACATCACATTTAGCGCACACACACATGTACTACATGTACTATACACACGACATACATATAGCACAACACCACTCCAATGTACACCATATCACACACATACATACCACATGCAACACACACACACACACATTCTCTCTCTTCAAGGTTAGGCTAGCGCATGAGAACAAGGACCCTGTAGGCCT